TAATGTGAAGAGAGATATTGTTATATGTCATGGATATCTTGAAGAAAATGTCTGTCCATGATATCTCAAGAAGATGAGTGAAGGGAGATCTTGTTGCCTGTCCATGATATCTCAAGAAGATGAGTGAAGAGAAATCTCGGTGTCTTGCCTGTATATTCTCAAGAAGATGTGAAGGGGTATCTTGGTGTCTGTCCTGTATATCTCAAGGTGTAAAGGGAGATCTTGATGTCTGTCCTGTATATCTCAAGAAAATATGAAGGGAGATCTTGATGTCTGACCTGTATATCTCATGAACATGTGAAGGGAGATCTTGATGTCTGTCCTGTATATCTCAAAAAGATGTGAAGGGAGATCTTGATGTCTGTCCTGTATATCTCATGAAGATGTGAAGGGAGATCTTGATGTCTGTCCTGTATATCTCATGAATATGTGAAGGGAGATCTTGGTGTCTGTCCTGTATATCTCAAGATGTAAAGGGAGATCTTGATGTCTGTCCTGTATATCTCAAAAAAATGTGAAGGGAGATCTTGATGTCTGTCCTGTATATCTCAAAAAATGTGAAGGGAGATCTTGATGTCTGTTCTGTATATCTCAAAAAATGTGAAGGGAGATCTTGATGTCTGTCCTGTATACCCCAAGAAGACTTGAAGGGGGTTGTTGATATCTGTCCTGGATAACTGGAGGGAAAAAATCTTAAATTAGATCAAGGTCAGTGCCTCTGCACTCCCTTATCCAGAACGAGGGCAAACTTTTGATTTTCTAATTTTTCAGCTTGTTCAAAGGGAGACAACCTGACGAATATTTAAAATTCTTTCAAGACACTTTTTTATCCTTTGTTATCTCCCATAAATACCCTTATTGGCGAAAACTAGGTATTGGACGCAGACACCAACAGAGGAAGAAAAGGCTGTATGGGTTACTTGAGTGGCGCCAGAGACGATCACTGCTCAAAGATATCTCACTAGAAAATGTTTCAAGGAATGGATGATAGGATGACTTGCGTGATGATTTTGATTTAAGTGACGAAGAGTAAATAATTAACTTTTCGTCCTTCTTAGGACGTTATTTTTTGTTATTTGAAGCCCCACTCTGGCTTTTGCCAGGGGCCGCAATATAGGCAGGTCATCATTATGGCCAAATGTCTGAACGCGGTTTCTGGGACCTCTCCACGGTGATCCTCATCCGCATGGTGGCACTTTGTGTTATCGGGTGTTTATCGCTTGTGTGATGTCCTGGTGGGGTAAAAAATCCAATCCAATCCAATCCGAAGAGTAATAATACTATAGCCATCTCCTTGTGAGATGCAATTTTTCGTTATTTTGTTATTTTGAAGCCCCACCCTGGCTCTTGCCAGGTGCCGCAATATAGTCCCGCTGTAAATATGGCCTAATGGCTAAACGCAGTTTCCGGGACCTCTCAACGGGTGATCCTCATCCACATGGTGGCACTTTGTGTCATCAGGTGTTTATCGCTTGTTTGATGTTCTGGTGGGGCAGAAAGTCAGTCAGTCAAGAGTTGCGCAGTTCATCGACTTCATTCTTTCGCCTGTCCATCTAAGTCCGATAGCATGACGAATCAGGATGAACTCAGATGCAGTGGATGACCAGGGCATCTGAGATGCCTCCCCGTGCTCAAGGCTCTCCACAGAGCCTGCTTGTAGTGGCCTTTTTGTCCGTTGATGCAAGATGGTTTCATTCGTACAGTTCGCCGAATCCAGACTTTGCATGCCGGGTAGACATTTCCTAACTCACCGATCAGTTTGGACTTTGGGATGTTACTCTCTCCTGGTTTTGCCAGCCTGTCAAAGGTGTTTGCCCAAAGGGTGGCCGCTATCCTATGCTGGGAGCTACTAAGATCCACAGAAGAGAGCAGGATGTCACCATTAGTCCAAAGGTTGGTGAAGCCCTCAGAAGATAAAGCTGGAAAGAAGAATATGACCACCCACAGCTCACGGCATGGAACATCATCATTGTCGGCCAAAACGTCACAATCCTTGTCCGCACAGAACCGCAGGGTAACCCCGCTAGTGTGGCTGTTACTGCTGCCTTAATCTTAACTTTTCTGGAGGTTGATCGGGTGTCTGGATGTCATGTCCTGTTGGTCTGCATTCAGCATTGAGACGATGACAAAACTTCATGTCCTGTTGGTCTGCATTCAGCATTGAGACGGTGACAAATCTTCATGTCCTGTTGGTCTGCATTCAGCACTGAGACGGTGACAAACCTTCAGGTTCTGTTAGTCTGCATTCAGCACTGAGACGGTGACAAACCTTCAGGTCCTGTTGGTCTGCATTCAGCACTGAGACGGTGACAAACCTTCAGGTCCTGTTGGTCTGCATTCAGCATTGAGACGGTGACAAACCTTCATGTCCTGTTGGTCTGCATTCAGCACTGAGACGGTGACAAACCTTTAGGCTCTGTTGGTCTGCATTCAACACTGAGACGGTGACAAACCTTTAGGTTCTGTTGGTCTGCATTCAGCACTGAGACGGTGACAAACCTTCAGGTCCTGTTGGTCTGCATTCAGCACTGAGACGGTGACAAACCTTCAGGTCCTGTTGGTCTGCATTCAGCACTGAGACGGTGACAAACCTTCAGCTTCTGTTGGTCTGCAATCCACAACTGAGACTCAATAGTCTCACGGCGACAAACCTTCAGGTCTTGGTCCAGATCGAGGGCAACTTATCTCAGGGTAAGAGTCTTTCCAGCTTGCTGCCTGCAGGGAATAAACAGCTCGCACGCATTCATCATCATCGTCAAGTGCCTTGCCGACTGGCCTGGGCGATGCTGCCTCTCCAAAAACAAATATCACCTCGTCTGCTTGACAACAGACAATGTTGTGACAAAAGGGTCTAAATAAGTTATAGCTAGTTGCAGAGCCAACTCCAGTTGTGTGGCTGTGATTTCACCAGGCAATTGTACATTCAGTAGTTTGCCATTGCCACTCAACGGTCAGCTCTCGATACTACTGTCAAACCCAACGCAAGGCGGTCTGCTGTCAAATCACCTGAATTACTCAACCTCTCAAGAGACGCAATATAACCTGCGATAATAACAATGTTAAAACACACATAATATAAGTTTTTATTTTATTATTTATCAAACAGTCTCAGGTATATTGTTCAATATTGTCAATTAACAATACCAGAATTACATACACCAAAATAAGTTTACCCTGCGGTCAAGGAACAATAATTTCAAAGACGCCTAATCAAAATCAGTCAGTGACAATCGTCTAGTCTTCTCAGTTTATAGAATGAAGGTCAGCTGATGGTCAGCTAATGGTCAGCTGTGGGGAATCTCTAACCATCCTAGTCTTGATAATACACACTCTCTCAGACATTATTATTCCACTTGTATCGATGTATGTCCCTTGTTTACCTGTCTGTCAGTGTTACCTGCAATTTTTTTTAATAAGCTTTGTATGTATTTCGTTGTGATCGAAATATTTCATTCAAGCATTCTATCAAATGTCAAATCTTTGGCACTGCATTTCATTGGCAAGTACGTCACATGTACATCACAAGTACTTTACGGGTACGTCACATACTTTACAAGTAGGTGACAAATAGCTTACAAATGCCTCTAAAGTACATCACTAGTACATCAAAAGAACCTCACAAATGCATTACACGTACATAATGATTACATTACAAGTACATCACACCTACATAATGATTACATAACAAGTACATCACACGTACATAATGATTACATCACAAGTACATCACACGTACAAAATGATTACATCGCAAGTACATCACACATACATTTATGATTACATTACAAGTACATCACACATACAGAATGATTACATCACGAGTACATCACACGTACACAATGATTACATCACAAGTACATCACACGTACATAATGATTACATCACAAGTACATAATGATTAGATCACAAGTACATCAACCTAGATAATGATTGCATAACACGTACATCAGAAATGATTACATTACAAGTAAATCAAACCTACATAAGGATTACTTCACAAGTACATCAGACGTACACAATGATTGCATCACAAGTACACATTGATTACATCACAAGTACATAATGATTACCTCACATGTACATCACACGTGTGTCATGATTGCATCGCAGGTACATCATACGTTCATAATGATTGCATCACAGGTACATCACACGAGCAGAATGATTGCATCACAGGTACATCACACGTGTGTCATGATTGCATCACAGGTACATCATACGTTCATAATGATTGCATCACAGGAACATGACACGTACATAATGATTGCATCACAGGTACATCACACGTACATAATGACTGCATCACAGGTACATCACACGTGCATAATGATTGCATCACAGGTACATCATACGTACATAATGATTGCATCACAGGTACATCATACGTACATAATGATTGCATCACAGGTACATCACACGTACATAATTATTACATCACACGTACATAATGATTACATCACATTTACATAATGGTTACATCACAAGTACACCACACGTACATAATAATAACATCACAAGTACACCACACGTACACAATAATTACATCACAAGTACATTACACGTACATAATGATTACATTACAAGTACATTACACGTACATAATGATTACATCACAAGTACATCACAGGTACAAAATGATTACATTACAGGTACAACACACGTACGTGCGTCATGATTACATCACACGTACATAATGATTACATTACACGTACATCACACGTACATAATGATTACATCACAAGTACACCAACTATGTTTAAAATTAAACCATAATAAACAGAAATGTTGGTCACCTCTAGGACGACATAAAGAGAAAATTACAATGTTCAAGATGAAAGTTCAGCAGCTAAGTCTAAGAAATACCTGCTAAGGATCGAAAGCGTTACAAGAACGTAAAAGCAACTGAGTAATATTGTACAACCACCAACGGTTTTATTTGGTACTATCATTCTAAACATGTCCTGTATTATCAACATTATATAATTATATAAGACAGTATGTTAAACAGTGTAGTATCGTTTCCCGGTGTTTTTGGAGATTGTCAAGATGGCGCCGTTCTTCGTCTGATCGTTGATTAGGTCAAGGAGAGCCTCGGCTACAGTTTCCGGTCTGAAACATGGAAAGTTATATTACGTAATAATGTAGAAGTACAGTATTCTTCTTTTTTCATCTTCTCCTTCTTCTTTTTCTTCTTCTTCTGCTTCTTCTTCTTCTTCTTCTTCTGCTTCTTCTTCTTCTTCTTCTTCTTCTTCTTCTTCTTCTTCTCTTCTTCTTCTTCTTCTTCTTCTTCTTCTTCTTCTTCTTCTTCTTCTTCTTCTTCTTCTTCTTCTTCTTCTTCTCTTCTTTTTTATCATTTTCTTTTTCTTCTTCTTATAACGTATACGCCAACACTGATGTCTGACTGTGAGGTTGAATTTGATAAAACGCTGATCGTCACAAACTTGTGTCACCAGTTCAACTCTCTCGGGGAATTTGTCTGACTGTGAAACATAATTAATGTTTACCCTTGGCTCCATGCTGCCCCTATTCTGTCAGTAATCTTGTTCCTGTTATGGACGCGAGAACTTGGTTATACTTGGCAAGGTTGGAGGAAAGCGGACAGGGAGAAGTCAAAGAAGTAAATACTTGGATCACTTACCCCTGTGGATTGGGCGAAACTGACCTAATCCGTCATTCTGTAGATTTCTTCTTGTTGTGTTTGCCTTCTGATTTACACCGACAGACAGGTTCTTGTGATAAACTTGACTGTTTTTATGAGTTCCTTTTTTAGTTCCATACAACGTTGTGTGCAGTGGTGACTCACTGGGCCAGTATTTCCTTCTTATTGAGCTGAACAATGGACAGTCTTGCAGGACATGTTCTGTAGTCTGCACACATTGCCCACAAGGGCACACGGGTGAACTACTTAGACGAAGCCTGTGCATATGCTGGTGAAGTTTGTTATGTTATGTTACTGCATTCTCTTCCTGGTCACATTCTGTCTCGTTCTTAGCAAGTTTATCTGCGGTTTTGTTTCCTGGTATACCACAGTGGGATGGCACCCACTGGAGTACAGATCGCTTTTGGGCAGCCACCTTGCCAATTTCAGTTCTCAAGTGAGGGCGTCTGCCACTCTTGAGGGCTTGAAGCACCGATAGCGCATCTGTGAATATGACCACTTGGTGGCAGTCAGAACTGATGTTGTGTAACATTTCGGCAGCCTGCTCTAGTGCTACTATCTCTGCTGTGTAGTTGGAACAGAATTTACCAGTGGGTATACACTTGGTGTGGCGGTGGTAGCCTGTGTATGTAATAAAGACGCCAGCACCCCCATTTTTAACCGCACTGCTTGCTGATCCATCTGTGTAAACATGTATCCATGACTGTTCGGGATAGTTTTCATGAATCCTGCTAAGAGCAGTGTTCGTTTTTGAAGACCATTGAACTATTCTCCAGATGTGAATCTATTGATTGAAGTCATTATCTGTATTGTATCACTGACTTGCTCCCAAGGTACAGGGTATAGGGTAGGTTTCAGCGGTGTTGTTGTAAAAGGTAGATCAGCTTGATACTGTCTTCTAAGTCTTTTTCCCCGATGGACAAAGCAGCTACGTTTGAGACGCCCCAATGCCAGATAATCTAACCTTTCGTTTACTGGGTGTGACTGCATACTATTACAATTTTGCACATCATATCAGTTGCAATGTGACCGTCTACTCCACTGGTTATCAACCTATGGATCTCGCCCCTTTTGGAGATCGAATGACCCTTTCACGTGGGAAATCATATATTCACTGAAGTTAGGAAGTAGCAAAGAAAATAATGTTATGGTTGGTAGTCGCCACAGCATGAGGAACTGTACTAAAGGGTTGCCTCATTAGGTAGGTTGAGAACTATTGGTCTACTCTTTTTTGGCAACGCTTTTAATGGCTGACTATGATGATGTTGCTGATGGTGATGAAGATGATGATGATGCTAATGGTGAACTGCATATACTGACCTCAGGACACCCACCCGGTCAATGATTTGCTCTGCGATCTCTGGGGCATGAATGGTGGTCTTGTCTGCCAGTTTGGCCAGCAGGTCCGTTTCTACGAAAGCTGGGGCCAAAACGTTAATTCGTACACCATTGGAAAGTAGCTCTGGGTTTTTCTGTTGATGAGATCAGACATATGAATGTCTGTTCACCCACCTAGTGTGTCTTTCTATTTGTCTGTATGATTTTGTCTGTCTGCCTGTCTACATATCTTTATGTCGATCTGTCTATCTGTCTATATTAACATACTATATTGCATAGTATGTGTTTACATGGTTCTTATTTTATTTCAAATATTATAATATTATTGTATCTATTTGTCATTTATCATAAAATAATAACAAATTTAACTATGATGATGATTATTAATATTATTAGTATGCACTCTGTAGTACCTTGCGTCTTGGAAATTATAAGAGGGTGGTGCACTCTTGCCTCCCCCCCCCCCCCCCCCACACACACTTTCTTTCATCAATCCCCGCACGCCTTCTCCTCTCCCCAAATGAATTCTTTATGGAGGCGCCCCCTAAACACAGCTTCATGACCAGCCAGTTATTGCCAAGCAATTGTCTCTTCTCTGTTCAAAGTTGTAAACACATTGGCGTGTATTGACAGGCCTTGTTTTTGTCCAGAAACCATGAGTTGCTAACCCTTTCGCTCGGTAATATGGATATCGCGACACTTCGGTCTTGATTCCATGACAGCTACCGTAAATTGTGGGAAATATATGGCTTTTCGGCACACCCCTTGGCGTGAACTCAGGTCACAAGGAGTTTGTCATTTCGTTAAGATGAACTGCTTCAGAAGAACATTCGGTCAACATAAACAAACAAAAGCATTCGATAAAAATAAACAAAATGTTGCTCCCAGCAGGGATGTATTCGTGTTATAAATCCCCGGTTAGCACACATTTTTAACACGAACTTACTGTCATTCCCTTATCGAGGTTAAACTGTAACAAACTGATCCAATAGGTTAGCGGTTCCAAACCTGTTTCGAGTTGCCACTTCACTTCTTAGAGGCAAAGTGACTGTGACGTCATACAATAAACAGGCTTTTTACTGGAGTGCATGAAAACTCGTAACAATCCTGAGCGTATTACAGTAAGTAAGTAACTTTTACCTCACCAGGACATCACATAAGCGATAAACTCCCGATGACACAAAGTGCCACCATGCGAATGAGGATCACCCGTGGAGAGGTCCCAGAAACCGCGTTCAGGCATTAGACCATATTTATGGCCGGGCTATATTGTGGCCCCTGACAGGGGTGGGGCTTCAAAATAACGGAAAGGGGGGGGGGTGGTGCATCCCACAAGGGGAATAATGTTGTAGTATTACAATAAAAACAAAGAAGAAAATAACCAATCAGCCATCGGGCCAGCAACTGAACCGCTTCTAAAGTTACAAACAAGGGGAGGTAAAAAAAAAACCATCAGAAATACCTACAGATTTGTCCGACGTTATTATGGAACTCTCCTTTGAAGGAGTAATTTTCCTCCTCCCTGTCCTCTACCATCTACCTGTTCCAGAAGCTATCAACCACAAAGATAAAACAAAGGTCTCTTCCCCTTGCCTCTAGGCATATAGGGCTAGACCTATATTTTTTTAGACCAATCGGCACAAAATGGGTGATGTGGTCAGCATCACGCCGGCCACCTTTACTTCCCAGGACGGCACGCCGTACCCACTCAAGGCTGGGTCGACCTGAGAGTCAAGGTTTTTTTTTTTTAAGTCCAGCTCCGCCAGGAAGCGAGCCCACGACCTTCCAATCCGCACGCGAGCGTCTAGCTGCTCTGCCACGGCGACTAGCCACACAGAAAACACTTTTAATATTTTATACTATATATTTCTGTCACACATAAATCCACTAAAAAGTCACGTACACAAATGTTTCTGTGCCGAACTTCAAAAGGGAAAATTACTGATTCAAGTCGACAATATTTCATTGCATGATTGGGGTCAAAGAACGAATTAAGTTGGTGACACTAGGCACTACTGTAATGGTACTGTTTGATTGTCCTGTTTGAAATCTTCATAGCTAATTATAAAGGTAGCCGTCTGTGGCTTAGGCCTTGCGAACGCGCTTCGTAATACCGGAG